GGAGCGCCCGGCCCTGGGGTGCGCTGGCTGTTAGCAGCCACAGTGGCCTGGCTGGGAGTCGCCGCAGGGAAAGAATCTTCATGGGTTGTTAAGTATGTTCATCAAGAAGAATGTAACTTTGGGGAAGAAATTATACCGCTTTGTAGAAATAATCAACTGGCGTGAAAACCCTGAGGTATAATACCACTGTAACACGGTTTTATTTCTGCTGTGCAGCGAAGAAGCTACTGTAGAAGAAAACTGTGAGTTGTTACTTGGAGTGATAGCACAACAAACTCTAAAGAACACCAGTTGCTATCAGTGCCTTGTTATTCATCTTTATCAATGCTTATTGAGGTTTTTTTAGTCTAGGAAATCTGCTCTGAAGACCGAAGAACTTAGGGATTTGTTTAGACTGGAATGGTTATTCCTTCTGAGTCTGGTGTTTATTCTGCTTCACAGTGGATAAATAGGATGTGATATGTACGATGTTATCAAGAGTACATATGGCTATAAACTTAGATGCCTTATGCTTCTGGTTTGCATGTCACTAAGGCTAGGAAAGTAGTTCACGCTTCTGATTCCCTGCCCTATTCCCCCCCTAAAAAATACATAGAGGTTGAACTCTGAATACAATGGATATTATTTTGTCTAGATAGAAATTTAAAAGGCAGTGTCACTGTGAGTTAGGACATTTGTGGGCCTAGAATCAACTTTGCGGTTTAAACTGGAGTGTGGAAGAACTTGAACTGTAACTATGTAAAAATAGCAGCAGTGAAGGTATTTAGTGATAAGTCAATCCAGTGAAGCTGTGTCTGGGAGGTGGGTTTTTCTTTTTTTCACTCTTTCATTCTGGCTTGGCCTGATATACAGGAGATGTGGAATAGCTACTGCGTCCTCCAGTTATCCCTGCTGTTACTGGACTAGAACCCCCATTAGCATCATTTTGATTCGTTAGGAAGTTTCCAGGCTTTATGTCTGTTTAATTCCTGCCTGAAACAACTTTTTCTTTTTAATAGCTCATATTCAGGAAGGCAGTGCCAACGTTATCCAGCAACTTTGGGCAGGTAGGAAAAACCTCCTGGTTCTTAGTGGGTCTTTGTCATTTGGTGGTGGAGAATACACGATGGTGAAGATTTTGTGAGTGCATCAGTGTAGGCATTGTGGTCAGATTAGTCTTCTGTATTTCAGTTTACTTAAGGGACTGGGCTTGACCTCAGATTTAGTTATGACTATGTGTTATATTAATCTTTCACAGAAATAAGCTAATGATTGAAGTTTGGGAACACTGTACCCGGGTATTTTTTTATTTAAGCTTTTTAGGTTGTTTTGCTCTTTAAGAGCTAACTATAATTAATAAAATGCTTTACTTTTGCTAACTGTTTTACACGTGTATGATTGTTGAACGTGCTTGTAGGAATATAGCAACCCTAGAGATGCCCTTCAGTCTGATACCATGCTACCTATCTATCATCTTCGATAAATTTAGCAGTTCTACCTGTAAACCTCAATGATTTTGTAATTATTCTTTTTTATTCCATTCTTTTTCTTGACATGAAAAACTTTCTATTTTGGAGAGTGATCACTTGTATGCAGTTAAATATACAGTATTAGTATAACGTTCTGGTTGAATACAAGATAAGTATTAACTCAAGGCCAGCAAGTAATAGAAAATAATGATTGTTTGGCTGCTTGTTCCTCTGTTTGTTTTTTTAATATTTTGTGATTATACCCATACCCACGTAATTAGGTCCTGAAGCTTTCATTTGGGAAGGGAAGACAGGTGATTAATGCTTGGTGGAGCCTGAGGCCGTGGTTGTGTATTCAGTAGAATTGGGTTTGTGCGGTGCTCAATTACCTGTCAGTCTGTGATCTGGATGGAGAGGGAAAACACCGTAGGTGATGAAATGCTGAGTTAGCTAGAGGAAGACAGATGTTATAGTGTCCAGCACAGAGTCTGCTGTTAAAACTTGCTCTTTCAAAACTTGTAAATGCACTTGTATCAACAGATTAATTTTTTTTCCTTATTAAAGGATTTGCATTATGTGACTTCATTGTTTTTCATCTAGCACTGAGATGCACTAAAACTGGAATTTCCACGTTGTGAAACCACAGCCTGAGTTTCTTCCACAGTGGAAGTCCAACTCGCTAGTAGGGACTGGGTAGCTGCCTGTACTATATTTGCCCCAAACTGTATTTTTTGTGTTTACACAAAAGGCTTGGTTTTCAGTAACAATAAACTCGGTACTCTTGTGATCTCTCTATTCACTGAACTGTGGAATAATTAAATGGGAATGTTTTTATACTGAAGAGAATTCTTAAAAGATAATTTCAGATCACCGGTACAGTTTTTGCAACATAGCCAGCGATGTTTCTGATAGATGGCAAGTTCTGGTGCTGGTAGTTACCTTCTTCTGAAAGGAATGCTGCTGCTGAATGCCTAGTCAAATTCAAAATAATTTAATGGCAGCAAGGAGATGTCATTGTCTCGTGAGAACTCTGGAACGCAGTCTTTGCCATTTGTTATTTTGATGATTGAAGAAGTATGATTTAAAAAAAATAATCATGATTTTAAAAAAAATAATTGATGATTGAATACACTAGGATTTAAAAAAAAAAAACAAACAACAAAACAAACATAAACACCACCAACCCAAAACAAAACTTCCCACCCTTCCCCAACCCTGGTGTTCCCTAGCTGAGCTTCCAGGAGAAGCACTAATGACGGAAGAAAAAAATCTAAAGGAAAATTATAACCATATTCAAAGTAGGGCTTTATAATAAATGGAAATCCAGTTCATCTGTAAGTTTGATACCCAAGTTGATTATTACTGAGTATTTTTGCTTTATAAACGGTGATTGTGATTGTTACCATTGCTTTTTTTACAGAGGAACCCCAAATATATTAGTTGAAGTTGATGAGGAAAAAGTGTTATATTAGAAAAACATGATAACTACCATAATGCAGAGATATGAAAGGAATGTTTACTGTATTTTTTTAAGAAATCTAAACGGAATTGGAAGTTTCATATTTTGTTGGGCAAATTTCTAGCCACACTGGCATATTTAGATGTTCTAATTCAAGGTTTGTGTATATTTTCTGTGTTATCAATCCTGTCTTTACTCCCAGTTTGTTATTAAAGTAGGGAGTAAATAAATTTAAACAAATAGGTGTTTTTCTCTTTGTTCTTTCTGGAAGTAACTAGGTGTGGGAAATAAAGCAGATGTCTGAAGGTCTCAGAACTCTGATTTTCTATAAAACAATGATTATATTGACAGCTTTATTAAACTACGATTTCTTTTGCTATTTTATTATATTGGATACATAATGTAACGCACAATTGATTGGAAATTGTTCTATTTTTGGGGAGTTTTTTTCAAGATAAATCTATAGTAAATTTTATGTAAAAACTTGATATATTTTTATTTTAAGGAACAAGCGATGCATTAAATTTCTTCTAAAAGTCTTTCTGTTAGTTAAGAACTTTAAAAAATAGTCTCGATGTGTAACAATAATGAATACTCTTTATTCCTGGTACAGGACAAAGAATAAACAGGCAGCTGCAGCCAGACAGCTCTCTTCTGAAAATAACTACCAAAGTCATCCAGTAGTATTGTAACAAGTAAAATTTGTACTTCAGGTTTTTTTGTTCTGTTTTTGTATTCTCCAAGTACTCTCTCAATTTTCTTCAGAATCAGTATTTTTAAGAGTATTTGAAAGGAGTGAAAGAAACATGAAACATTGTTGTCCCCAGTAGTTCAAGAGAATTAGTTCCAAAAGATCCTAATTTGTGTCTTTTCAAAAAAAAAAAAAAGTGTTTTTCATGAATAAACTGTAGTTCCTGAACATGTAACAATTCAGAAATGACTTCACCTACTGAA